GTTGTAAGGCGTCGAATACTATTGGCCGACATGAAACGAGGTTTTTGCTTCAGACAGTCGAATGTTCAAACTCCGCAATATGTTTATAATTAACACGCGCGTGTATCAGCGTGATTGTAGTGCTGTGATGCTTATTTTACTGAAGCAGCACGAAGAGCCACTCATCATGCGGGTTCATTTCTGCCCTCCACCCCCCAACCCAGTAAGTCCGCTTCAGTGTTGACAGCCATTGTTTCAAAACGAACTCGCTATTTAAAGCAAGTGAACGTTCATCAAAAGATTATGTGCGGTTTTCGAGCCATAACCTGGCAAGGCTCATTATTTTGTTTCCCGGGCAATTTGTATGATGATATTTTATAAAATCAACATTTTATTCCGAGGAAATAAAGAGTAAGCTAAATTCGGGGAATGCTAGCAGTTCAAAATATTTTGTCTCCTCGCCTGCTGTCTAAAAATGTAAAAATTAAAATATGCCAGACTACAAGTTTACTTGTTGTTTTGCCTGGGTTTGAAACTTGGGCTCTGGCCCGAAAGGAAGAACACCAGTTAAGGGTTTTTGAAAACGGGGTGCTGAGGACAGCAATTGTTTCGAGGACTGGAGAAAATTACACAGAGGAACCATTAAAGTTTGTACTGTACGCCAGATATTAATACCGCGATCAAATTAAGGAGAATGAGGTGGACGGTGCATGTAGCGCGCATGGAGTAAATGGGAAATGCGTGTAGTATGAGTTACTGAACAAGTGTCGTTAAGTAGACTCTAAATAAATATTGTCTTCTTAAGATGGACTTTGCTGCAGGGAGTAAGGACTGTTTGTTATGAACATTTCTCAAACTTCTATGTAGAATACGTTTCTAAGTGAAGTTCGTATTCTAAATGCGCCAGTCGTCATTTTAACACACAATTTAATCAGATTTCAGCACGAGAGTTGCTTCTGACATGTATTAAATGTCTGATAGGCTTTGTTTGTCAACGCCTCTTTACCTTCTCTATCTTAATAAATCATCAAATGACACGATGATTGATATGAAGGTTAAAGAATTTTCAAGAGGAATCGTGACCTGTTTTATTAAAGTATTTCTTGAATGGGCTGATTAAAGTTTCAGTGCACCTGAGGTGGCAGTCTGGTTGAACACGAGGTCTCCAAGTAGACATTCGACCTTAGGTTTTAAGTAGCTAAGGTTCTGTCTTAAGTCGGATGAATCCAGTCCGCATCCTCACGCCCTAATTCTTTGAAGTTAGATTCAGTATTAAAATTCTCCTCCATCTATGCCCAGGTCTAATGATCGTTATCTTCGTGTCGTCTGTAATCTTAGCATCGAATTCTTGTAAATGAATTAAGTTTGTCGAACTTTTGTTGTTGAATCTTGAGGGTTTGTATGGTGATAGGTCTGTGAAAAATACATTCATGTATTTCTTTAGAAACCACGAAATTGTAAAATTACATTAATTATTTTGCATTGAAACAGTAACATTGTATTGTAATTTGAGATTTGAGTGGTGACAAGTTTTAAACACGTGATGCAAAAGTAAGGTTTACTTAAAAAGTTCTAATGCAACTCTGCAGCCGTAAAACGTCCTACGCCACCACCACCGAATGCTGAATGAAATATTTATGTTCATCGTATGTTTTCATGTGTTTGTAATACAAATACAACAGATAAATGTGTGCCGGAAAATGTAACTAAATATTTTATAACTTCCTGTTTTACAAGCAAGAAACGTTATCATAAAATTTCAAGCCATTTTTACTGTAAATGGAATTTAAACAGTACAGTCGTATAGTGAGGAAATATTAAAGCTTTTAAAAGATTAGCTAGTACAGAATTTTTGAACGTCGATGTTGAAAACAGATTTTAAATTTGTATAGTGCATTTTGTCTGCTCCACTTTTAGAGGTCTGAGTGAGAAAGAAACGCCGAAATCTTTTGAGTGCGGTTTTATATCAATAAGACCTATATGTGTAGTACAGCTCTCTTCATGATATTTCTTGGAACCTAACCTTCCTTTTCCTTGTTTAGCCTTTGTAAGATCCTTCTGTACATAAAGCCCCTTTCACATTGTAATTTAGAAGTCACTTGGTTCGTTATGACTTGAATGTAAGCCTCTTCACTTTGATATAAATCCGCTCCTCCGACACAAGGCACTGCTTCAGACGATGTTTTCACGGTAGTCCATAGAGTGGTCTGGGCATCGCACGGTGCTAGAACTGAAACCCCACAGGCTAGTGAGCCTGCCCGAGTCCTGGAAAACATTTGTCACATCCTGTTTGCACTCCACCAACTCGAAATTCAAAAGGCGCCTACGCTCCGGAAAAGCAGGAATATTTAATAATTAAGTTCCTACTACAAAGAAATAGTAACACTTCTGCAGTTGTTGACTAAAAACTGATGGTGAGTCGTGACATTTACATCTTGTTAATTCTTTCCACGCTGCGGGGGAGACTTCCTTCTCAGACACACAGGATACTTCTGTTCTGTACGTACTTCATAGAGAAAACATTTAGCCTTACTATTTCCTACACTGTTTCTGATTTTGGTCGAAGGAAATTATAAGTTGTCGTAGGAAGAAGAACATACGACATCCATTTCCTAAACGGTGAACTGTCATTGAAGAGAGTAATAACATTTATTTCCTGAATTAACTCTGCAGGAAATTAATTACAGTGTGGAACTCTGATTGGAAATAAATGTTGCATGGCGCGTACTTAATGAAACATGTGAAAGAGAGAGGCGTGAGTGAGTATTAGGCCTATGTTACTCGCGTTTGTGGCAAATAATTGACTACGTGTACCAGAAGTAGATGTTATGAATGCTTTTGGAAACTGCGTGCATTTGTCGTTCTTGATGCCTTCGTTGTGCTGCGTGTATCAGACCCAAAGTATTTAGACAAGTAAATCTTGAGACACGGCACTGTCAGAGCCTTCCGCGTCTTCTTTGTGTCATGAGCTGATACGTGAAATATACGTCAGTTATCCGTCCTTTGTACAGGAAGGTAGATAAAAGACTAGAATGAAGGCACCGACTATAAAAGGAGTCCTGTCTATTGTCCGTATTATATTTACGAAGTAAGATTTGATGAACCGATTATAGTCTGTCTGTATAGACTGTAGAACTAGGTCACAATGAAGGCACCGACTATAGTCTAAAAACAGAGCTTGTTATCCGAGTCGTATTACCTCCTGATCCTATCCTCCAAGTCGACAAACATACTAACAAAACAGACGCTTAGGATACGATATTCCTTTTATCCGTCTATATAAATACCTTTTTTTGTTCGGTAAGAAGGGCTTAAATTGAACACAGTTTGTATTAACGTAAGCCCTTCTTATAGAAAATAGCATCAATATATTGATATTAAAATCCGAGTTCCTACTATGATAAATAGACTTAGTTTCAATTTGTTTTTTATTATGTCCGTTTCGATTAAATGATTCAACGTGATATTTTTTTTTATAATTTTGCAATTAAAAGTGCACATCATAGTTGCAACAACTTGGAAAATGTAATTTGTGTCGCTTTGTGTGGATATGAAGATGTTTTAATGCACAACATAAGCTGCCTCATAGTTCTTTACATAAAACTTAACTCAGGAATATTTGTGTCACTCGGTATATTTCAGAATAATCCGTATGTGGGGAAAGAACGTTGAAGTTTCAACGCGTTCTGTCGTCTTTTCCCTGCGCCCTATTTTCACGCGCGGCGTATTTCTTAATCAAAACTCTGTTCTTGGCAACACTAAAATAATGTTACAATTGACGAATAACTCTCCCAAGTGTAGTGCGTTCTTTTAGTAGAAACATGTCTGCTATCCAAAGCACCGTGCGCAAAAAAAATATACTATGTGAAATGAAATTTTCTATGCACCCTCAAATTCTACATCGCAAGCAATTGAAGTGAATACTTCTCCTTCCGACCGTGAATCAAATACTCTTATACTTCGTATGTCCTACGTAGCATCTCTGGAAAAATGTCTTGAATTCTGTATCGTAGTCTCATCTCAGATGTAAATATTCTTAGCAGCTAGGATTATAAATTGAAGACGTATTTATGGTATATCGAAGAGTTGGCCTTCAAGAAAATTTT